CTTTTTCGACGCGTGGACGCTCATTGCTAAGGTTAGCATGGTTTAACAAGATTTCAAATCGTGAAATATTATTGTAATCCGTTTCTGATCAAAGAAATTTGAGCGATTTCTTCGCTCCGATATTTAAGTTGAATTTATAATTCGCTGTATTGAGACACGACTCACGCGTTTTTGCAATGATCGATGTTGTCTAAGATAACCTAAAAAAAAACTGATCTCTGTCCACAGGATGGCTCCGAGATACGAGTTGGCTGTTGGCCTCAATAAGGGTCACAAAACGACGAAGATTCGCGTATCTAAAATCAAAAATATACCTGCGAAGGAAAGGACCAAGACCGTCTGTGTACGACCATCCAGGATAAAAGGAGTAAGTGGAAAGTGTATAACCCATAATTCTCTCATTTACTGCGTTCAGTAGAATATTTATTTTGCAACTGTTAAAAGTTTTCTTCGCTGACTATTTCTTTAAAAGTATTGATCTAAAAATATAATCCAACCAATATTAAGAAAACTTTCAATAGTTACAAACATTCTCTTGATTGTGAACATCGTTATTGTATATGTATTGATCAAAGAACCGATGCATCATAATTTATTATCAGAAGCTTATTTATCTTCTCTTTCTTGTGTTATTATTCACATGTTATTATTTATTCTCAATTTCTCCTTGCAGAGACAAACCAAGCACAGCAAGTTTGTAAGGGATCTGATCCGGGAAGTCACAGGACATGCCCCTTATGAAAAACGCGCTATGGAATTGCTGAAGGTGTCAAAGGATAAACGCGCCTTGAAATTCTTGAAAAGAAGAGTAAATGTCTTTTCTCGCAAGTTTTAGCAGACAATAGCAGATTTCAACAGAACTATATAATAGTGTCATATAATTTCATGCTCTGAGTTTTGCTTTATGCCTTAATAGAATATTGATAATTGAATAAAAAAAATATGAAGGATTTAAAAAGCTAAGGATTTTATGTCCATGATGTTAAAAATTGCTCTGAGATCTTAGGTTTTCTAGAAAAAAATCACATTGATCAAATTGCTGAATTGTTCAAATGTGACTTGTTAATTCTTTTGTTCAAGAACTTAGAATAGTTTCTCTCACCATCCTAACAATTTCAAAATGTTTAATATTTTCTACTGCTTTTATACAAAAATCTAACACCAGCCAATTACTGAAAGATAAAAATTAATTTCTTATTTTAAGTATTAAAAACTTCATTGTTCAATACTTTTAGTGCTTAAAATTAATAATTGATTATTATCTTTTAGTATTAAATTGGTTCGTATTAGATTTTTGTAAACGTGCTGCAGGGGAAAAGTCAGTTGTGTGCAGAACATGGATACTTATTAAATATCAAAACTTTTTTTAGGAAGCGAGAAGTAGAGTTCTTAAACTTTATTTTTTTAATAAGATGTGTTTTATTTTTTAGTTGGGTACACATATTCGTGCCAAGAGGAAGCGAGAGGAGCTTGGAAATATCCTGGTACAGATGAGGAAAGCAGCTCATCATTAATTATATCTGTTAAAATTGTAAACCACTATATGTACTTGAATAAATCAATATTTCGATCTCGATACAGATAGAATACATTATTCAAGAATACTCGATGCTTTTACCATCTTCGATTCAAATAAATTGAGCAAACACTTGATAGCTCATTCATTCATTTTATTTTCATGACCTATTTTCGTCCGACTTAATAGAGAAGCTATATATATTGTTCCAACTGTAAGTTATAAAAGACTTAAATAGTAGAAATAATTTTCAATAATTTTAAAATTAGTTTTTAACAATTCAAAATATAATAAAAAGTTGTTTATGCATTGCTATAATTAAATTAATTACTAATAATAAGAAACGAAACAAGATTTTATTAACTATAGATAAAATTTATTTATCAATATTAAATAAATATTAATTGTAACAAAGAAAAATGGATTGAAAAACAATCGATATTATAGTAGTATTTAATACTAACTTTGGTATAATATTTAAAAATATTAAATGTGATTTGTTAAAATTTTACATATCTCTTGTAATAGATATATCTAAAATAAAGAAGGCAATTTCATCAGTTTCCGTGGTGTAGTGGTTATCACATCCGCCTAACACGCGGAAGGTCCCCGGTTCGATCCCGGGCGGAAACATTTTTTGTCTCGAAAAAAACATAATATATTTTTTTTATTTTTATCATTATTAATTATTGTAAATGTAAAATATTTACTGAACGTAATCCACCGTTTTATTGAAATTGTTTTGTTTTGTAAATATCAAACAAAATAACAACTAAGAGTACGTTTCAACTACGTATTCATTGCCGCAGCTGAAACTATACAGTATACGTATGCTATAGATTTTCAGTATTGGCAGTAAATATCGGAACGTACCCTATAGCTACTAATATAATAATTAATAAGTTTCTTTATAATTCACAATCTGCAGAGGTAAAAAAATATCTTTATTAATTATAAAAATATGAATCTCAAGCTAATCAGTTTAATTATTAATATATATGTTCATATTAAATTTTATTGTTATTTTATTGTTTCATTATTATTAGCTGTTATTAAAATTATGTCAAAATTATTAAATTACGTAACTTTAAACAGAATTGAATAATAATTTTATAATATATACATTACATTCCATATATTATTTTTTTTTATAACACTTTAAAATGCTTTTGTATAAATTTAGCATTCTCCAAGACATTTAGTCCAAGAAGCAAGATGAGAATTGAAACACGTGCCTCTCGATACCTTCGAAAAATCGTAAAAGTTATTAGGAAAACATGTTGAAGAGGAAAGATAGAAGGTTACAAGATAAGCGACAGAGTGATACAAAAATTAGACGATGTCGGTAATCATAAACGGCATCGACGAGATACTATTAAAGACATCTTTACGGGAGTTTGTTTCGTTGAGAATATTGAAGTGATTAAGAGTTAAAAACTAATAAATTGTATTTATTTTAGGATTTATTAGTTTAATAGATGTATTTATGTATTTAGAACTCAATAATACTCGATTTTTCTTTAAAATTGTGATTTCAATGTATCGTCAAAGTTTGATTATCAACAGAGATGATAACTGCAAAGAAAAAAATTGTAATTTTTCTGCAATATAGGATATTATAGCTTTACAAGTATGCACATTTATTTATGGAACATTTATATAATAAAAAATCATGAATTGAATAATAATAATGCATAAGTCAAATATTTATTATATGTTAATAATAGCAAATTTATATCAATTGTCGATAATAGTCAACGTTCTTTAATTACCTCCAAATTTGATTACCTCCCAATTCTTTTTATACCGCCGAAAATTTACCTAAAGTTGACGGTCTTTAATAGTCTCGGTGTAATAAAAATAGCTAATAAAATGTACTAACTACTATACCAATTATAGATAACATTGCCATCTTATTACGCAAACAGCGCGAAATTTAAATCAAATCATTTAACTATGCTTCTTGTGACCTCCTCTTGAAAGATGTTCTTCTAATAACTTTTATGCTTTCTTCTAGAGGATCAAAAGATGCATATTTTAATTATATATAATTCAATCTTTTCTATTTAGAATGAAAGAGAGCAAAAAACAGGAATAATTTAAGAAAGTGATCTATGATGAATAGATTACTTTTAATCGTAAACTCATATGTGGATTGTTTAAAAGAAACTGATGACATAGAAAGTTTTTATATTTTCCCATTTTTATCTTGACTCATGTAAATTCATAATTTAGAACTGGAATCTTTGGCATGCAAAAATTTATGATATAAATAACAAAATTTTTGTAACTTTACTTTCGTTGTATCATTCAAATAGAATAATTATTGATTATATTACAATAGATTCATAATGACAAAGAAATTTTTTACGATCTTTCACAAAATTGTTAATATTCAACAATGCCTTATCTATTTTGCATGGACAAAAACATCTTATTATACTTTTTACAATTACAAAATGTCACGCATCAGTAATACATATATACATATATGTATATATATATATATCCATATGTGTATATGTGTGTGTGTGTGTGTGTGTGTGTGTGTATAGATTTTTGCTTACTAACAATACTATATAAAATTTTGGATAATAGAATTTCCACTTATTAGAAATGTCATACAAATACTGATAGTTCTACAAAAATCTAATAACTTTTTAATATAAAATATATAGTATAAATAGATACAATTACATGTAAAATATATATGTTTCTTTTCCCTCGTATAACTTTTGTTCAAAAATAATAATTGAAAAATATTAAAAAAAAAAATTTTTGCACTGTTTTGTTCACAACAAATATAATTGCGAGTATGTAATATAATATTCTATATAATTATATATATAACTTAAAAGATTATTACATTTATATGTGATCATATATAGAAAATTTCTTCAAACTTCGCTTACAAAAATTATCTTTTTAATTCTTTTTATCTTATTATTTTTTTTCTGTATATGCAAACAGAAATTATGAAAAAGAAAACATATATATGTATGACTGACTGTATATATACTTTATATATTTTTAACCAATTTATTATATTATACAAGGTGTCTCTAAATTTCTACATATGGAGTACAAGACTTTAGTCTAGATAGGTGTTTAAAGTCGTAAGAAATTGATCCAATCAAATGCAAGGAGAGTAATTGCAATTCGTCCATTTCTTATAATTTAAAGCTTATAAATCTGTTGTAGATTCGGGCTTATGCTAAAACAAACAACTTTTTCCTTTTGCAAAATTGCTGCTGACAAGTATCACGTCTTGTACTCC